ATATGGCTTTTTGCAAAAAAAATAAAACAATCTGAAATAGGACTTTCACAATCCGAAGTAAAATATTTGCGGAGTTTATTTTTTCCATTTTTAGAGTTAGCTTTCGAACAATAAATTCTGACAGACCAAATCATACAGAATCAAATAATTACAGTAAACAATCGACCGTCCGTATAAGAGAGCGTTCGCGTACGCTTTAGCTTAGAAGGAACGGTTAACGGTTCTTTCTCGGCCGGAAGTTCAGCGTTAAAGCCTACTAGACGAAGGACTTTAACCTCGCGTTCTTACCGTGCGCCATTCTATCCGCGCGAAGGTAACAACAATATGGCGGAGACGCCGCCGACTTCCAACTGTCGCAGGAACAACTAAGCAATAGTACCATTGATTATTGTTACATCAATAACCGCGATAATAGCTTATTTGGAAACAGAGAGACGAGTTCATTTGTGAATAAAAAAAAAACAGGCGACCTAAATACCCGTTAATCCTTGGAACGCAAATTGCGTAGGAAAAGAATCGCTTGTTCGAGGCGACGCCGCAAAGAAGCTTGCGGATTCGTCACCAAAATTATTTTAAGAAAAAGGCCTCAGCGTCTTCCCACGTATGGTCGCAACCGGCAAAAGTGTGACACATTTTACGGGCCTTTAAAGTAAAGCTGTCGAACAGGCAACCCGCATCGCGGGCAACGACGCGCGAGGTTACCGTCTTGCTCTACCGTTGCGTTTTCCGCGCCGCCTTGATAATTAGGCCTCCGGGATCACTATTTCTTGGTAGACAATTCATCGATCGACATGTTCGCTGTACAGTTAAGGAATTTAATTCGCGTACCTTGTCACGCACCTGCGACGTAGTTGCCTGTCGGGTGTTTTACGTCAATTTCCTCATTGCTCGCGACGGTGCTTTAGTTTGTCCAATTCGGTCTGCAGATGTCGCGTTTTGGCATTTCGCGACGCCGTTCAACCAAAACATATCAGCCATGTAAATTAAAAACAGTGAACCAAGAAATTTTACAATAGAAAAGCACTGCTTGTAATAGGTATTCTTTTATTTCTCTTGTTCACTTATATAAATTGTTTGATTACTTTATTCACTGATATATTCTTACCGGAATTATTGCTCAAATACTTTTTCAAGTGTATAGATGTTAGATATGCGTATTTACGTTAATATATATAATTAACCAACATTTCTTATTTCTTGAAGAAGGGCCACAATTTAAATTTTTGATTCAACTAAATCAGTAATGTAAAGAATACCAAAACACTGATTTATTTGTTATTTCTCAAGAATACTCGCAAGCGTTATGATAAATGATAAAATAAAATAAACAATTTTCTGTATTACATGGAAACAATTTATTTTTATATGTAACTATTTATATTATATTTTACATAACTCAATCATACTATATGCGAGGTGGCCAATTTTTTAATGTCAATGTAATTGTTTGTTTTGACTAACCAAATTATTTGATTTTAATGATTTACACGAAAGTTGTAGGATTCAAAATGTATACAGGGTGACCCAATTTCGAATTAAGGAAATCCCGATTTTTAATTGTTAATTAAAACCAACATGAAATTATTACTAAGTAGTCTACGAACGCAAATTGGTCAACATCAAAAAATAGTCAAATCATAACAAACACTTATTCACAAATATTCACGAAAACCAAAACTACAAAAAAAAAAAGAAGATAATACTACTAATACTACTATTGTTACTATGTTACTATTGGTCTAACACTAAATAAAACGTGCCTCGCAAAAACCATATAACTTATAAACAAATTCAACACGGAATGGAATATATGCAAAGCATTAACGTAAAAGTAATATTTTCCACGAAATCAACAAAATGACGTATATAATCCCGGAACCCCTGCAACGGCCGCAGCGTCCGATACAATGGAACGGTATTTATTGTGTTTGTAAACATGGAGCCTATTATTAAATGGGTTTCCGAGAAAATGCCTAAAAGTCGAACCCGTCCGCCTTGTCCAGGTCGGCGAAAACTAAGTCGGTGTTTGTAACAATTCGAAATGCTGGTGATGATTATCGAATTTTGACCCTTAAACCTAAACGCTTTTGTGGATGATTTTTCGTTAAGTGTAGAACAACCGAAATAAGGCAATCCACGCCGGACAAATAAAACTAAAACAAGAAAGTAAACATGCACTTGTAACACTAGAGAAACGGTTATAAATATGCAAACCATTATGTCGTAACAGCAAACGACGCGCGACCTGGGTACTCCGTATTCCGAGGTTGCGACGTTGCGCTGTTGTGTTTCTCTAAATTTTTTTCAGTCGGTTTCCATTAATTATAGAGAACCCCTTTCCATTTTATTTTCTGCTCCGTACGATATTGAACCTTGAACACGACAATCTGGCGAATTCGTAAAAACTAAATGTTTCGAGATGCCGTTGTAGAGGACAGCGACGGCAACCTTGCGCGGATTCGCGCTACGCAGCACCAAGTTCGCGGCTACATTGCCAAACGTATCGTCAAGTCTGACAACGCTGCCAGCCATCTCTGCCGTGATCTTGGCATTCCTCGACGGACACCAGACGAGGAGCGTAAATGGGAACAATTCTTCGAACAGCGTTGCCGCACGTATCCATTCGCTTTTTCGTTTCGGACATTTCGCGTTCACAAAATTTAACTGAGACAATCGTCCCTTGACAAAATGTCACGTTCGAGCCACAATGGGCACCATTTTAAGTGTCTCGCCCGAAATTTCTGTTGTATTTGCTATTTGGACAACTTTTTCCACATTTTGGGAAATGCCGTGTTGGAAAAAAGATAAATAGTACACATAATTCTTAAATGATCGAGGAGAGATATGGGTAGCTGTAAAAACTCTTATTTCAAGATGATTCATTAATAAATATATTCATTTTAACTGTACGAAAACGGATATAAGTGTATTCTACTACATTAGCTAAATAAACTTTTTTTGCTACTACCAGATGCGTACGACAATGACAAGTTCCAGTATTCAAAGCTTCACAATTATTTTCGTATTAATGAGTAAATTGTAAAAAAGAATAATGTTGTTTATTGCAATAATTAGATGCGTTCAACATTTAAAAACAAATTGACCCATTTTGTTGCAATCTAAACAAGGGAGCAATTTTTTTTTACATTAAACCACCCTCGCAATTCCGCTGCAGAAATGTTACGATCTCATCAAAGTTCTGTCGCAGTTCTTCTGACGGGACTGTGCGATTGTCTCAAAGGGACCGAACAGTTCCCCTTTAATTTCCAGACGCTCGTATAAGGGTACCACTTTGGCATTCAAATTTCAAGTTCTGTGGGCCTGCAACCCGATTATTACCAGTCTCATATTTTTCTGTTTGCAAACCGCAAGAAGTCGTTATGCAAATCGTATACCTCATACTCATCCACCTGCTATGACGGCATTTATTCAAAATTCGGGCAGATGTTTGCAAATACCCCCTTCCCTATTTTCCAGATAGACATAAAATATCGAAAGAACCCGAAAATTAAAAAGGATACCCGCAAATCTAGGACACGGAGGGTTCCCGCCCCAATTACCCCGACGTTGTGTAACCTGTTGCGTATAGTTAGACAGGTGACACCCCTATATTTTGAAGGTCACAGCTGGCTAGAGTGTCGCACTAGCAGACTGCACTTCTTCGCGCAAGGTGCACCGTTGTTGCATTGCAAACGACAGGCTCTATAACTTCATGTTCGACGCTTATTGGCACATTATATATATAAACTGAATTATGATTTTATGAATTAGATTTGTGGGTCCAACAGGATAGAGCCACTTGTCACACATCCAGAGAAACGATGCAATTGCTGCGGGGCAAGTTTCCTGGTCGGATTATCTCACGTAACGGCGATATCAGTTGGCCGCCGCGGTCGTGTGATCTTACTCCCCTAGATTTTTTTTTCGGGTATCTAAAGAGCAGAGTGTATAGAAATAAACCAAACACTATTCCAGAGCTGAAACAGGAGATTAGACGCGAAATAACCGGAATAGAACCTGAATTGTGTCAAAAAGTGATAGGAAATTTCAATAAATGAATTACGTCGTGCCACATGAGTCGCGGGGGTCATTTGATTGACAGCATCTTTCATACCTAATTGTAATACACTAATTATTATTACTATTATTATTTTAATGTGGAAACCCTTATTGAATCACCCTTTACCTACAATGCTAGCCAATTAGCTACTTTAGTAATGTATTTTGGAGTTTGTCACGTCAATAGCTTTGATTTTTTTCGTGTCAACCGAAGAAAAAGTTTATTAACACTCCTTTTTTAAGCAAGTAACTAAGTAAAGATGATCCGCAATGAGAATGTTTTGACTCAATCTCCAGATTTTCGATTATTTGATGGTTTATTCAAACTCTTTAATTTAGTAAATACATTGTTTTCATACATAGTTTCATTCAATTTTCATGGCTATTATAACTCTCGAGTGCTAAATGAACACAATATTCAAAATGTTTTTATTCTAAAATTATGAATTATGAAAAAATAAAAAAACGTTTCTTTTCGCAAGCCGCCGATGGCGTGTAGGCTAGGTAGACGTGTAATCAAATATAAGCAGTTCCAGTGCAAAGTCGCCATTGATTTGTAAAAATGTTTCTAAAATAGAAGATTTTCCTCGGCGGACAGAAAATAGAGAATTTGGTTTTTCCAACAGTTTCTTTTTTCAGGTTCTCTAGTGGGAATAGCCTACATATAGGAAAGGCGGCGAGAGCTCGCGACCCGATCTCGAACAAACTCCGTGCGGCAACAGGTATGCGCTGCAGGTAGTTGGGCGGACGTACACAAACCATATCCCCACCACCATCGCCGCCGCCGCCGATCGCGACGACGAAGACAAGGAATAAGCGGGTTGCAATAGCCAGCTATAACCTCCAAAGAGGGTGCGGAGGGGGGAGGAGGTGCGGTGGCAGCGCGCGCGCGCGGGGGGAGGGAACCCGCGCAACGGTTCCAGCGCTGCTGGTACCTTTAGCGGTCATCGTCGTCGTTTAGTCTTAGCAAGGTCTTAGCGGCGGTTGGCAGTTTTGCCGCTATCTGCGCGCGGTCCACACGATCACACATTTTCAATTCTGTTTGTTTTTTTTTTAATTTGTTCGTTTTGTTGGGCCGGTGAGGGCCGCCCCCTCTTCGTCGTTTACGGTAACGCGAGTGCGCGAGTGTGCAGCGGTTTTACTCCGTTGGATTATTTACAAACTGAATGAAGTGCCTTGGATTTACGTGATTCGAGATGCCGAAGATATTTCTGATCAAGAACCGACTGCACCAGCAGCAGTTGCGGCTCTTGGAGAACCAGAACGCCACCCAAGGCAAGAACGACCTCGGCATAGACCGGGTCGAGGGCTCGCCCCAACCGCTGTCCCTTATTGTTCCAAAAAAAGAAGGTAATTGCGTCGACGTCGGCACGGACTGTTTTAATCTTAGTTTAACAGTTAGTCGTCTCGTCGCGCATCGAATTCTCCGGAACCGCCGCGCAGCGCCGTTGCCTGAGCGTAGAGCACTTGTCAGTTTTTTGCTTTTTAAGGTTTAACCGCAATATTGATCGGATTCAAATTATATGGTACGATAAATCCAGTACATGCCATTAAGATTCGTCCTGTAAGTCCCCCTTTGTACAACGGTATCTGGGTGGCAGGGCCGGCTGCAAAATATTTATATTTCTCGCATACGGTCGTCAACGAAATACACTGGCTTTTAAAATAGCGTTCTGAAGACTTATAGGAGGCATTTTTCCAGAAAACATTTTATTTTTTTTATCATCATTTATTAGAGCCCAAGGGTAGAATAACCATAATATCGATATATTTTTAATTCTTGCCTCTGAAAAGCGAAGTCTAGCTTCATCTTAGATGCTCGACATTTTGTCGGATATTACAATATCAATAATTCAAAAATATATAATAAGAATCTAAAATTCACTATTAGGACAATAATAATTTGTTTAGGAAAGAGAATTTGGGATTCCAGCAAATAACGTTTTAGAAACAACTCACAATATATGTTCCTTAATATTAAAGTCTTTCGGTTGCTCGGAGGATTGTGGCCCTAGAAAAATCTACTATATCGTCAAATATGATCTTTACAAGCAGATATTGAAATTTTGTTAGGATTTAAGCACAATTTGAAATAAAATACTATACGAGTCTCCAAAAAAAACAAATTTGACAACGCAATTCATTAAATTTATAGTTAATTACAATGTACTCACTAGGCTTTTCTAGATGTTCTTTTGATTAATTCTATGATGATATTACAATTCAATGAGACCTCTGTCTTAAATAATATATCTTACTTATGAGTTTAAGATATGCGTTGTATTATAAACACACTTTAGGAAAACTGCACCAATATGCTTGCAGCTTCCCGACAAAGCAGCTTTACAACTGCAAGCAACGATGCGATCAATGGTCGCTTGGGATTCAATATTTCAATATTCAATATTTAATTGGCCCTAATTTCATATAGAGGAATTTTTGCTTACTGCTTAACGCACTAAGATCCTTTGAATTATTGATCTTTGCAGTAGACCCAATTAAAATGAAATTGGATTAAGAAATTACAATGTAAATACGACGATATGGATTCCACTGTAAGAGAGTGTTGTACCATTTTCTAACCACACGCCACAAAAAGTGTTAACTGGGCCACGAATAATGATTTATTAACTACCATTAGTGCAAGTAGAATATGGTGGCCGGCGTTGAAAGGCAAAACAATATGAAATACTTATTTTCCGCCATCTTTGTTTACTGTCAGCAGCGCCACTATTGGAAAAAAATTATGAATACATTTACTTGTTCCCATATTAATTCGATTTATCTATATAGACAGATATTGATAAAACCGAGGATAATAACAATTTATTAGGTATTTCTACTCACTAAACGTACACAGACATAAAAACGATAAAATTTCAATTCCAGTTCCGTCCGAAAGGGATAATCAGAATTTTATGGCAGCGAAAATGACAGCGGGAAAGTTTGAACCAACCCACAGAATCAACATCGTTGGTTTCAGCTAAGCGAGATGTTTTTTTTTAACCAAAATTTTTCATAAATTAGACGTGAACATTTCTAACCTGGACGATAAAAGCGAAACATTTTGTTATTCGAGTCGCGGCCATCATTGAAACGGCTCCTCTTTGGGCCCAAATTAGTAGCTCAATGCCATCTCGTAGGCATTGAACAATTTACACACATAGCTCGACGAGTACATGGGTTACGCGTTTCAAAATTAACATAAAATGCGTGCGTTCTTTGTTTGCTTTTGTCAAGGCACCTGAAGTACCGTCCATACACCTGACCAGTAATAAAAATTTGGCCATTAGGGACAGCATATTAAGTACTATCATTTTGGCCACTGTGTATGTTGGAATGTACCGCGGTGTACGAAGATCGACTTTGGGTGCCGCGTTCAATTTAATAGTTAGTGGCTTTGTGGCTCACAATTAAGTTTCTTACGAACTTCGTTGCCGCCTGGTTATGATTGATTGCCAATTAAGGGTGCAAAGTCGAAGATAACGCACTTAAATGACAACGATCGGCACGGTAAAAGTCTAATTGCTGAACATTTGTATCACCGAATTTTTGTGGAAAACGTGGCCCGTGATTTGGAACGACTGTTGCTGGCAACCAACAAAACAGGCATTCCGACGATTATAAAATTTACGTTTCGAAACGTTATTGGCTAGCTAAACCTTGACTTTTAAATCGGCGGCAATTTATCGACAGATTTGCAGCGATTTTAAATACTAATCGAACAACTGTACTTTTCGCTCGGAACGACGGCCCAGCGGCGCGCTGGAAGCGGGCCGGACCGCGGGTAGCTAACCCAAGGAAAACACAACAGCACCGGAAGCCGGCCGCACGCCACTGGAATCAATTCCGTTCGGATTTGTTGTTTTTGTTTTTAACGTTAAATTAGCAGTTGTCGTGCAACTGGAACCCGTCTTTCAAGGATTTTGACAGTTTCTAGTGTGTGCTACGACTGTTATCTAATTGAGCCAATTCTCTTCTCATATAGAAGAGAGTTTTCGTGCACGAACGACCCAGAACGAAATCGTTGCGACACATTACCTGAAATCGCAATTGACAAAACAAATGTTTGCCGAAATTTTTCAACACGTAATAAGCGAATGGCGCTCGGTATTTGAACAGTTGCTCCATGTAGGTGTGAACGTGGACGTTTTATTTTCACCCGGAATGAAACGTGATATAATATTGGTCGAGTGGCAATACAGAAAACTTAACCGTATTCAAATTTATCCTGATTTGGGATTAATGTACGGATTTAGGACGCGACGAACCTAAATCCATGATAATGGCGTACCCTAGTTCGACATTTTCACTTTTTAACCTCATTTAATTTCTTGGTCGCTGTCAGAGACGGTAAAAACGATTTAATCCCCAGTCAGGGCGATCCGTTTTAAATGTCATTATATGTTTTCAACCTGTTCCCGCTAATAGACATAAAAAAAAAACATGAAACTCTGTTCCAGATAACAAGATTAAAACAAAATCGACGTGCTTTTCTTCCCCGTACCCTCTGGACTGTAAAACGCCCCAAGGTCAATTCACGCGAAAAGAACAATGCCTCTCGACTTCAATTGTTTCGACTCCGAGGAGAGTCGACGCTGAAACGCGACGTTGCCGAAACAATTTCACGACCCGCCAGGGCGAAACGTCTTTGATGATTATGTGAATGAGGCCGTCGTCGCCGTATTTGCTTAATCGGGTTTTTTAAAATCTAAATGGCAAATTCGCCGGGTCAAGAACGACGCCGTTTTAACATTTGACTCCCAGATTTGTAGCGTACGCGCAATAACCCAATTTCATTTTGAATCGGACGCCGGCATCCTCTCAACAGTCGCCGATAATGACCCAGAAAAGTGTGAGATAAGTTTTATTATATCATGGCGCGGAGAAAGTTCGCGCCGACTATTAGGCAACTCGCAATTGTTGTTTGCTTGAAAGCGGTATGGTTTTTTTTGCGATGCTTCCATACGCGAGACCTTGAACTTCACCTTCGGTGTGCGGCTTTCTCTTCGATCGCAGCACGTGATGCCATTAATTACTGTTTTACGGTGATTTCGTGCGTCGCTAATTGTTTTCCACGATCCAAGATGGTAAATCGAGATGACTACCCTGTAAGGGCCCCAAAATATTTCAGTCAATTTGGATTGTCAATTGAATTCACAAAATCTGAAGGAAAATGAAAGAGTCTCAACCATGGTTGCTATAAAAATGTGCGACGTGACGTCATTTCCGTTTCCGTTTCAGTCCAATGCAGCTTCAACATTAGATTTCTATTCCCTAAAAATTTCCTCTGAAAGGCCAAAAACCCCAAATGGGAGAAAAATTAAACAGGGAGAAAGAATGAAAAAAAAACATGTATGCTTTTAACCTATTCAGAAAATTAGAATAAAGTTCAATAACTACTTATTTTGCATTTCATTATCGTACTTGTTCTAAGATATAGTATATATTAGTTATTATCAACTCTAATAAAATGAATACAAGAAAAGTTCGCGCCGAACAAAGGATCTCATTACAGACAGCCTCAAATAGTGGCAGCCACTCTCACAACTTACAGTTTACTTAACTGGATAAATTTTTTATTAGAAACCTAAAAGAGAACGTTTGAATAAGCACATATTTTCCAATCTCGAGCTGTCATTTTTGACTAGATTAATTTACTAGTAAAAATACCGTGAATAAAAGTGAAAAAACGCGAATTTGTAGATTATAATCTTGCATTTTTTCCCTTTTCTATCATTTATTACAAATAGAATAAATTTTCCTGTTTTTTTATAGCACTCTTATAATTGTACTGTTGAAGCTAACTAACTAAACTATAAATGTAACAAAAACTATAAAATTCACGTTACGCAGCAAGTATTTTTCTAGGCCAACGTGTTAAAAATTAAAAAAAAAACCTTGACATAACAGTAAAAGTGATTAGAGCCATTGAAACACAAATCACACTCAAAACAATTCTCTGGCCTATAACCCGAACTTTTTCCAAACAACAGACACATCAACTCCCAGTTTTGACCCACAACATTTCTGTTCTGCACATCACGCAGGGACATTTGCCCTTTGCCCACGACGGGATCCGAGCTACTTATCAGTAATTGCTAATATTTTTGCGACTCCCGGGTGACGTCGATCTCCAACCCCTTTGAGAGATACTCAAAATAATCGTTTTCGACGACCGAGATGTGCGTTTCGCAATCTTCATCGTTTTCAATGTCAAGTGTATACGGTTTACATTTCGAAATATATTGCGTTGCGGCACCGCTCATATTGTTTACATCGTGGATTCCGTTTCAGTCAGGAATATCAAATGTTGCGCAGCCGGATTATTTATCAATTATCAGATATACATACGCTCCCACCTAGTTTAAAATTGTATGAAATCAACCTGTGTAGTCAATCCGCATTACAAAGAACTTTCAACTTGGTGTCCTGCGGGTTGCCTACATATCTTGGTCTCTGCACTTCATATCAGATAATGTAGATTCAACTTCAGAATTCGTTGGGCCTATGAAATATTTGTTATTGAAATCCAGAGAGGACGCCGTCAAAAACTGAATAAGCAAAAGGGACACTGAACTCAGTTTTTATATTCAAGGTAAACGCGCGCAAAAGTTTCCAGAATCGGACGCAACTTTGTCGTCGCAGAAAACTTGCGGAAAGACAACGCCGCTCTCAAAAACGGGTCGTTACAGGAGGCTTTGGTTCCAAGGCCAAGCATACAACTCAAAACGGCCTTTTGTCCGAGACCGTTTCTTGCGTATTCGACGCAAAGAAAAACGTATACCGGTTTCGGTCCGTACGACGCAGGTGATCAGCGCGACGTTGCCGGATGTCCGCTTAAACCACTGCTTGCTAAAAGACGATCTTCGTTTTTTGTTCTTGCGCGCAGTCGACTTGGGCGCCGAAAACCCTGTTAAAAGTTGGTCGCGCAATGTTACACCGCAAAAATGTAATTTTAATGACAAGGTGAGCGCGCGAATATGGAAATATGAGTATTTTGTGGTAGTGGCATCAGTTAGTTAGTTAAATGCCTTTGGCCGATTGATTGATATTGAAAATCCGTTAAGATGCAAAAAACGATATTTTAAAATAATCTCAACGTCTCTGAGACCACGTTTTTTATTATGTTAAAAGAAATTATTATCTTAAATTTTTGAAATAATTTTTTATTACATTATAGTGTTCTACATTTAGTTTTGGAAATAAAGTTAAATTGCTTGATCGTAATTTAATAGAAAGGGGTTCCTGCCATTGAGTTGCACAAAGTTTCAGCATATCTAGGGTACGAATACTACATGGTTTATAATTACGTTATTAACTCGTGACTTTGATAAGTGCCACTTGTAAATTATTAAGCATGTGACAATTAAACCAGATTTTTATCAAAATATTGTTTTATACCTGGTAAACAAAAGCAGGTCATTTTGTTAAAGGCATTTTCGAATTTTAAAATTGCTTTAAAATATACAACGCGATTGTGAAGATAAAAACCAGAATATTTTAGCAGGACACATTTGATACATTAACCCCGAAAAGAAAGGCCGCGGACACAAAATTAACAATGGCGTCGAAACAATAATATTCCATGCTATCGAAACTATCTAAGAAAAATGACGATTTAACTCCGAACAATGTCCATTGTTGCAACAACAAAAACATCTTTGATAAATTACTATATTTGGTAGGCCGAATAATTCAGGAACCTTCGGAATGTCCGTTGACCCAGGATAAAAAATACAGGTTTAATTTTTACGCGCGGGGACCTTGACAGCTAACGCGGCCCCCTCCCTCGCTCCTCGTTCGACCGTTTCCATAACCATCCGCGTCAATTAAATTGTCGTTAACAAAATCAGCGTTACGGTTTCGGCGAGTCGTCATCGCGATCGCAGTTGGAGGTTTTTTCCCTCGCTAACCTCCGCCGCGATCACAATTTATATCCGGAGGCGGTATAAAAATCTTAACCAAATCCCATTCGAATGCTTTCGGTTTGAGAGGTCACGGAAAAGCGATTACACTTTTTCAATACTTTTTATTGGCGCTATATCGCCGGGCGGATGGAAAATTGGGCGCCTATATTATCGCCGAGGCCTCATATACGAAAAAATGTGATTGTCAATTTAACGTCAAGGTTTATCTCGCAACTCTTCCTGTATCGTTTTTCTAATCGCAAATTATGTTACGCACTCCATCCTGACGTAAATTGATAAAATCCCGTTAGCGCCTTCAGGTGTGCGCTGGGTTTCGAAGGACCGTATAATTTCTTCACTGATCTATTTGTAAAATTCCCTCTTTGGCTTTATAAGATTTTATTTCCTCAATATGCAATATGGTACGTTACAATAATCGTCGAGCACAGCATAAAAACCGTTGAACGTGAAAAACTATAAAATCTATATACTATAAACGAAAATGATACCCGGCTTATTACGAAAAAATGTGGATCGATAGTGGTATTCCTGTTGCGTGCACTTGGCGGTGCTTAGTTTTCTTTCTCATTTGCTATTAAGAGGCTCAATTTGAACAAAATCAATTTGCAAGCTGCTACAACACCTTGTAAAAACTTACGACAACTACACAATAAATGATAACTGGTATATAAAATTCTTGTTAGTTTTTAATCCTTTGATACAATTCACATACTGTAACAATCGACAACATATACAAATAAATACTTATTTACGTTGAATGTTTGTTTTTGAATAAACGTGTCTTTCCAGAAAAAGACAAGAGCTCTGACGGCGGCAAAACCAAAACCCCGCCACCCGACGACCCGAAAAAATCGCAGGAAACTGCACCTCCGCGACGCTTCATATCGTCGATTTTGGGCGGCGACGTTCCTTACGGCAGCAGAGGTCATGTACTAACACGCGCCGAACGCAAAGAGTACGCCCCCGCCGCCGCCCTCCCCGGCAAAGTGACGCTTCCTCCCGTCCAAAAGCCGAAAGATGACGTCGTCAAACCGAAAAACCTGGCGCCCGTCAGGCACTTTTCCGTCATACAACGAACTCCGCCAGCCTCCAAGAGAGACGAGGACGTCGACGTGCAGGTACCTGCCGCACTTGCGGTACAGGAACCCGAACAGGACCAGCCGATCGACTACCACATCCCCAAGAGGAAAGGCGAGACGGAGAACGAAGAGGAGGAGCGCAGACTGAGGGAGCAACGTCGCAGCCATTGCTCCAAGGTGAACAAACCGTTGATCAGCGTGAGGTCCATCATCGGAAAATTGCCCATCGTGATGACTTCCGCGGCTGCGGGACACGGCCGGGGTTCCTCCGGCGGCCAGACCAATTCGAACGGCGGATCCGCCAACACCTCCTCGGGAGGCGGTTCGATCAGCTTCACGGGCGGCTCCGGTGGGGGCGGAGGCGCAGGCGGCGGAGGTTCGATCGGCGGAGGGACCGGCGGAGGCGGTATGAACCCCGGCCGCGACGGGCGTCAAAATTACGGACCGAGCAGCCCGCCGACCGGCAGCCTGCCCCCGTTCTACGAATCGCTGAAGGGCGGCAACAACGGGAACGGGTACAACGCAAACGGAACCTTCTCCTCGAGCTACCTGCTGTCCAGTCAGCACAACATGGACTGCGACACCGGGCAGGATTTGGCAAACTTGAGCCTGAACGGGCAAAGTTCCCCGAAACAGTACTCGACCCTGCAGAACGCGTCGTATGGTATAGTAATGAAGGACGAAACGGATTTGGACATTTACGAGAAGCAGATCGATCCTATCAACCAGCTACTACCGGCCGGATACTCGGGCTACGACGAGTCGATGATGGTGGACATGGTGACCGGAGCAGTCGTAGACCCGCTCCAGTTCACCGCGACGTTGAATTTCTCGAGTTCCGCGGAACACGCCCTCCTCGAGAGTCTGTCGGACGCCACCGACTTGTCGACGTTCCTGCAGAGATTGCCCAGCGACGACAACAACGACAGCGATGAACTGCATTCGCCGGGCGGCACCAACTCCCAGCTCCAAGTCGACCACAACATCGACTCGTTCAACGAACAGATGCTCGGCCGTAGCGGCAACTACGAGACGCGGACCGGGTACAACCAGTTCTCGAAAATGTACCAGGAATCGCTACCATCGTATCAGTCGTCTATTAGTGTGTCGAGCGACACAACGATCCAAATGCAGCAACAGCAGCAACAGCAGATGCTGTCACCGACGCTATCGTTCAACGGCAGTGCCCTAGACCTGGACTCGCCGACGACGATGTCTCTTCCGTCGCCGGGGGCCACTTCGTGCTCGATGGACGGCCCCGACGGAGGGGCGATATCACCGCCGGCGAATGTGAGTGGTGGGGGCAGGCGAGATAGTGGCGGATCTACGGGGGATGGGGCGACCAATCCGTCCCTGCAGGGCAGGGTAAATGTTTTGCAACGGAGGGTAAGCTTCACGTTGATTCAGGCAAGAGGCTCCAGAGGATGTCGATAACGTTGACTGACGGACTGACCCGACACACGTCATCGACATACTTTTCGAATCGCGCGTGCTCGTAGCGCTGCCCAAATCAAACTGTTGCTTATTTCCTACGGCGGTTGCTTTTCGCTTCGCATTGCTTTTTCCTGAACCATATATACCATAAACGTGTCTTGCGCGTCGTCTAGTAGCGAGTGTTGCGAAACAAAAGTGAAAAACTGAGGGCTCAGCCTGACGCTTGTCTCCGGCGCGCGCCTCTGATGGCAGCCAGCCACGAATATATAAGATTCACTTACACTTCACGCGTCAAATAAATTTTTAACAAAATTTTACTCAATAAGAAGCAACATTTTTTCTAGTGGCTTGGGTTTAGTTGTATTGTTTGCAGCTAAGGATTTGATAATATAATTAAACTTTTCCGTACAGTTTCATGATACGTTTATAAGCTAGCAATTTTTGATTGGGGAAAATAATTTGGACCAACTAAACTTTACTAAAAGTTACTAAAAAGGAAATCCGGTTTTTAATTTCAAGTATATTATAGCTGCTGGATGATATGCCAATGCTTTTGAAGTCAACAAGGAAAATATTGAGAAGAGATCAATAAGCGCATACGCGAGTCATTTCGAGAAGCCCTTTCATCCAATAAAACCTGTCATTTTTAGTCTCACATTCAACCAATAAGATATCGGGGCCTTCAACAATTAACATGGCCGCTGACAGTTCGTCAATTCCATAGTTTTTGATTTGCCATTCTTTCAAATATTTCGAGTATTTTGACAAAATATGCCTAGATCATTTTAAATTAAATTAAGTAAATTTTCGATATTTTGCGACCTCTGCATTTATCTAATATCTTTATGGATAAAACAGATCGATATTTTGAGCGGTGACAATCGATTTTAATTTTTAGATTTTTTTTTGTGATTTTAAGATTTGTGCTACGTTTCTTTGAACTTTTGTGGTTATCAATTTATGGGTGATTACGGTCCTCTCTTTGACAAACCTAGTTTTTCTAGTAAGAACATCACCAGAGAAAGGCATGTCGGCCATGATCAACAGTTTATTTGGTTCACACGTCCCCTATTTTCAAGGAATCGAGCCCCGTCCCCCTAGTTTTTCGCATTTCTCAAACCCTGCATCGTAAAGCGTTAGTTTGTTTTTCTTTATCATCGCTTAACGGACCCTCCACGTTTGCAGCTAGGTTTGCCGTCGGAGGTTCAGCTTGAGTTCGTAAACGGCGGCCACGGCATCAAGAACCCCCTAGCGAACCAAGAGAACAACCGTCAGGGTCCCAGGACGGAAGAAAAGGTCAAAGTGTCGTCAGTGACTACTGAGGACGGACAGACAAGTTTCTGCTGTCGGGTGTGCAATAAGACTTTCGCGCTGCAGCGTCTCCTCAACAGGCACATGAAGTGTCACTCGGATGTCAAGAGGTACTTGTGCACGTTCTGTGGCAAGGGATTCAACGACACGTTCGATTTGAAGAGGCACACAAGGACACACACAGGTACATATTTAAAAGACTTACTTCTTACACTTTCTTTTAACAAACGTTCTTTGTTTCCAGGCGTGAGGCCCTACAAGTGCAGCTTGTGCGAGAAGTCGTTTACGCAGAGATGTTCCCTCGAGTCCCACTGCCTCAAGGTCCACGGGGTGCAGCACCAGTATGCATATAAAGAGAGGAGGACAAAAGTAAGATCGCCATTATTATTCTACGTTAATTATTAATGTCGGTTATGAATCGTAGGTGTACGTTTGCGAGGAATGCGGCCACACCACCTCCGAACCGGAAGTCCACTATCTCCACCTCAAGGAGAAGCACCCTTACAGTCCGGCCCTCCTCAAGTTCTATGATAAAAGGCACTTTAAATTTACTAATTCGAATTTTGCTAATATGTTGCTTCAGGTGCGTACATAAAGGCACCAAAAAATGCCCCCCCGCTCCCCATTCCCCAGATTTTTTATTAATTTATTATTTATGTTTTTGTGTTTTTTTTTTTGGTTGTGTCTGTTTGAAGTTCGCTGCACAGTCGACAAACGATTACACCAACCAACGTTCAATCAACTGCAATTCCGTGTTATTTTTTGTTTCTTTTATGTACATTCGAGAAAAGAAACGCGTTTCCCATTTTACCGCATCAAAATTTAAACTGAATTTGGGCCACTTGTTCCCTTATAAACGCTAAGTGCTTTTATGGTTTTCCATTTATAAATATAATGGTTTTTATTTACAGGACGATCCCACGCCAATAGTGACTTATTAGAAACTATGGCAATCGCAACAAAGAAGACATTAATTATAGCATGTACATTTTTAATTTTTGTCCAGCTGCGTCGTTCAAACAGACACATCGTGTTTAATATTTTAGTCCGTCCGGTAAAAAAATAATACACGACTTGCCCTGACCGACTCGAATACTATGCCAACGAGAAAGCAAAAATTTTCAATCAGAATACAATTGCATTTTTCTGATTCCGTCATTTCAAGTCGCGAAAAATTCGTTTCCCTTTCACCGCTGACGGCTAAAATATCTGTTTTAATCTTTTTCTGTGATAATATTAAATTTAATCTTCCACGTTATATTTACTATGTTACGTTTTAATGTTTACCTACATTACGCGATAACTGTAGGAAGTTATCAGACCAACAAGTCTATGGAAATAACCAGATGCATGGTAAAAGTCGTTTTGGTTACTTCCAAAGGCAGAGTATATTTTTTATGCGGCAAGCATTCGACAGACTAAATAATGTTAAAAATTCGGGTTTTTTGTGCAATCTAGGTGAAAGGATCTGATGGGTTTTAGTTAAGTCCTAGTTTAATAACCAAAATATTATATTTATGTTGGCGGGAACGCGATTAGAAATTAGAAACAAAGGAGAGCGACGACTTTTGTTTCGAATCTTTGACGCGTTCCGCAGAGTTTAAACGTTCTGGTGCTTCATAGAGTAAGAACTATGGTGCTACAGGATAGACATTCGAAAACGTACAGTTACAACGAATACATTACATTGAGGAACTATTTCTGCAATATTTTAGAGTTAGTCTCTTAGTCTTATGAAGTGAGATTTTTTTTGTTAATAGAGTGAATGAACAACCTTTGTAAATAATTTAGTTTTAAAGTTTTTGTCGCTGTAAGTACCTTTCTGGTTTAGCGTTTTGCCAGTGCGCCTGTCCCGTTTTGTTAAGAGAAAAAACAATACATATTTATATGCGTGTGTTTCTTTTTACGTTACAGTATTTTCGATTGTGTTTCATTATAGACGACTTTGCGTTCAAATGGAAAAGTTTTACAATTTACATTTCTTCCCGTTAGCTTTAAAATTAGTCCGCAAAGTAGATGATTGATAAGGCTTTGTATTTATATAATATTACGTAACTTAGAAACAAAACATAATGTTGTTATACAAATAAATTTTATACATATTTATTTTGCGCTTTTTATTTTGAAACGATAATATTATCTCAAGGACCGCAGTTACCTATAACTGGTTAAAGTTTCCATAAATGTTTTTGTAGCACATAAGTTACACACACCGCATCGCACAGGTCGCCATTTCTTCTTAAACAGTGATAGTCGCACAAATAACTTACTTCTTCGATCGAAAGTTGAATAGAGAGGGTCTAAAAAAGAAAATAAAATGAAATAAAAGACAAATATAGTGTTAATATAAAATGCTTAATGTTGGATTTACATATGTTTGACCTATTATATTCTATATCGAGTAATATTATTTTTCTTTGTAATTATTATATATTTTTTTGTTTTACATTATCGAATAATAAACTGTTTCGCTAACTTTCTTTGACCACACATACACTTCAATGTTCTATTCGTCTAAAAATTGAATGTTAGTCGTTCGATTTATTGCACAATATGCCACTGATTTTGACTCTTTTTTTTTGCACGTATTCTTGATACGGTATGGACTGCTGTTGCTCTGCTTTTAAGATAAAACGGAATTTTAGAAATACTTCCGTACAACGTAATGTATCTGAAAAATGGTAAAGACGCCCTGAAGTTTTGAACTAATGATGTAGTCAACAAGTGTGAAGAACAGCATTTCAGTGACAAGTGACTGACTTAAGTGACTTAATAGTATATTATGCAACAAGTGCGGTAAACGGCATTTGACTCACGAGTTCATTTGACACGAGCGGAGCGAGTTTTTGATAAACGAGTGAGTTAAAAAGTTTACCGAACGTGTTGCATACTATACTTTTTCTACGAGCGTTAGTTTTTGGGTACATTTTCCCAAAACAACACGAATACATTCATTGACATGACCGTCAGAATTGACAAACGCTAGATCGGTGGGTAATTAGGTATTTTACAGACGGGAGTAGAAAAAAGTTTAACCAAACGTGTTGCATACTATACTTTTCCTACAACCATTAGTTTTTGGGTATATTTTTGGGTATTTTCGAGAAGGGAGTACATGAAAAACTTTACATGACTCCCCCATTTTGTACACTAAAAAATGGAAAAATTGTATTGCCTCATATTCACATGGTGTAAACGAAAAGCCCACCAGACCAAAGAAGACACTTTGCACCTTGTTCTTGGATTTCCTCGGAGTTTGCAGATCATTATGAACTGACTCAAATGACTCAACTATATCCAGTCTCCATGATCAAACAACGGAAAGAGACAGTGAGAGATCTTGGGCAGTCAGCAATTTCTTCTGTTTAATAAAAGTCGCCATGGCTTGTTCGATTCTTGCTAAGATCTCATATCTTGATTGATCATGGCGCCAAGTATTTAAACTGCTGAATTTGCTCAATTATCTTGTTGCCTATAGTGAGTTGACTTCTATTAATGTTATTTCTCCTGGACACTATAAACGTCTTAGTTTTATCTATGTTTATGTTAACCCCATAATTCTTACTTCTTGTTGCCATTGTATCCAGTGTCTGCAGATTGCCAAATTGTGTATTTGCCTCGCAACTGTTAAACAGTCAATGGTTAAAATACAAAAAAAATTTCGAACTTGCTAACCTTTCACCAATAATCCTGTTGGTTTTTTCAGTACTTAACTGAAACTCTTTCAGTTGGCGAAACGTTAGCAAGTTCGACTCAACAACAACCGACGCAGGAAGAAGTTTTGTAAATATTACAAACAAAAATCATTTAAAACTCAGGTATTGGATTTCAAGAAAAATGCTTGCAAGGTATCATAACTTTTTCTTGCGTATTTATTGCTATAAATAGAAAATATACAGAGTGAGTCAAATTTTGATTTATCTCGTATCTAATTCTAAATTGTATATCATCTAAATTTTGTAGTTTTTCCTCATCCACTTTTGATTTTAAATATTCCCAGAGGGAAAACCAGTGGAGTATAGTATTTAAATATTCACGCACTTGTCGACCAAAATGGGGCGGCGCACAATCCTGTTCAAACCAAATCTGTCTATCTGGCATATCAGGCTGATTTGGATTTTGGAAAGAAACTAGTACCAAAGAAGAAATGAAGTTATTTTTAAGAACTTGCAAATATCGGACTTCAGTAAGAGTTTGATCGAAGAAATAAGGTCCAATAATATTGGGGATGTTGTATGTGATTTTCTTTCATCCATCGGATATTATTTGCACTGCAATACCTAAAATTTTGTTTATTTACCTTACCATTTAAACAAAACGTGGCTTCGTCACTAAACAGTACCTAACGGTGAAAAAATGGATTTAAGTTGCATATTTCCATCAAAGTTTCGCAAAACTGTGGTCTGTATTTTTTAAACATACTTAAGAAGAAGCAATCTTGTTTGTTCCTATAAATTTCAATTTTAATGGATCTCTCTGGATATTTTGTGTTAAATAAATTACAAACTTATTTTTGAGTTCTCGTTTTGTCTCCATATCCAATAAAAATTAAAATTTGAATTCTTTGCCTGTTTTTTGTTCTTTTGCTCATAAAAAGTAAGAAATAGGTATAGGATGAATTATGCTTAAAATTTAACACAGAATGCTTTATGAAATACGGCATATGTTCTGTTAATTGCAAAAAATTCAAAACCAAAAATTACGAGCATTTCTCTTGAAATTCTATTTTTAAATGAATTTGTTTATTTGTTTGTTTAGCCGATCACTGTATATTCAGGTGTGGCGTATGATGAGTTTCATACTTTGATGGTCAGAATTTTTTCGGTATAGTACGAAGGTGGAAAAAAATGTTCTTGGATAATGAGTCATGTTTTATATATGTGATTAAACAGACATAAAGTGATGGAAATTGAGCGTTCTTTTTGCAGTTTTAGGACTCCACAGTATATTTCAGTAGGAAAGGGGTCGTTGTGTTCAGACAGGTGGGTGAATTTGAATTACTCCAGGCGCCAACTTCAGGCGGGTCGATGAGTATTTATTCTGGACAATCGGCCAGACAAGTCGAAATATTTGAACTATTTCAGATCACAACTTCAAGCGGCTCGGCCACGCGGTCATAAGCAAAATTTAACGTTAAAGGTTACGTAAAAAAAAGAAGCTATTTCGCTTGGGTAGTCAAGTAGAGATTGAGGTTATGTGATGTAGAACGGCATTATGGTGGGCACTCCATGTGATCCAGGGGCGACTAGATTGAGGTTATGTGAAATACGCAGATGGGCAACTCCCAACACTGTCACTTAGGAATACGAATGTAAAAAAGGTTATTACGTGATATACAATAATTCTTAACCAAGGTTTCAGACTTGCGTGTGAGCGCCATGAGACGAGCAGCAAGTTCTTTCGAATTAACGTTAAATTTTGCTTATAGCCGGGTGGCAGAGCCTCCCGAAGTTGGGATCTGGAATAGTTCAAATGTCTGGCCGAATGGCCCGGTCGGTAATACAGAATAAATACTTATCGACCCGCCTGAAGTAGTTCAAATGCACTAACCCACCTGGCCACAGTGACTCCTTTCCCACTCCTTATTTCATCTCGCAGTTTCTTGGCATGCGTGCGTTATTTCTGGTGCCACAATTTTAACATCACAGTCAATAATTAGGTTGCCTTGTTCGTCTCTCGTTTTTTAGAATTTAGTGTGACTTCTTTAATCTTTTTATGCATTTGTACTTTGCATCACTGGCTGAAAATCAAACATCGGCTAAGAAATGTCAAAATTAGGCAACTTCTTTCGTGTCCCTACTAATATTTGATGCTGGTGTTAATAAATAAACATTTTTTAAAATAATAAATTCTTCTCTAAAATTCCCAAAATACCCAGGTTCGTTTTCTATGGGATATTACCACACGGGGTTCGCTGCAATCGGATGTTTTCAGATATATTACCTACGACCTGAATTTTAATGTTTGGCAATTTTGACAAAAACGTACCAAAAAAACCAATGGTCGCAGAAAAAATATAGTATGCAACACATTTGATAATAGAATATTATGCAACAAGTGCGGTAGACCGCATTTGACTACTTAGACTTAAAAAGTTTACCGAACGTGTTAGTTAAGGTTTTCTAACGAAGGATCTCGTTTTTAAAAAACACTTTTTATTTTACAAATAGAACTACGAGGTTTTATTTAACCCGTTACAAGGAGAACTGGACGCAAAGCACAAAGTTGTTATATATATAAAGTTTTTATGCAAGCGTCGCGTCGCAGATACTGGGAATACTGAAGCTAGCATTTCATCAGCATATTCTATCACATAATTCCTCCCTCCGAAGTGGAAAACAACAGGGACGAAGGGTTGTTTTCGGAAGACTGGTCGTTCTTGGTTTTCTTGGAATCTTGCAGCAAATGGCTCGTGTAGATTTTCCATGCTATAACTATTAACAAGATTAAAATAAACATCATTCCTGTTGAAGTGGCGAGACTCCAAGTGACTGGATGAATTTCATAACCAATGTCGGGGATCGATGATTTCGCAGCTTCTCGTAGTTTTTTGATCGTATTGAGATCAATCGATTGTAGTTGGAGTGGCTGGTACTTCACATCGTGATGTTCCATATTTTCAATTTTAATGGGTGGCAGTGAGAATGGGTTTGCTTTAAAAATTTCTTCTTTATTCCAAAGCTCGGTATTTTGGGTACTTATACCACAATTATATGGAACATTGATTAGGCAGGCTTCTTCAATAAAAGCTATTTCTTTGTTTTGACAATTCATTTGTAATTTAAGTTTCTGTTCCGATGGTATTATCAAAACAAATCTACTAGTGATTGGTCGTATTATATGCGTTGAAACATTTACATTAACTACGTGGCAATTTTTGTTTTCGGCATATTTAATGAGGGTTGTGACACAATCACCGATGGGCTGGGTAAGTTGATTTTCGCAAACGTAGGTGTCTTGAATGATTGGGCAGATTGATTCTTGATATTGTTGCATGTCAGTGCCCAATATTAGGTAGGGTGAATTAGGTATAATTAAGGAGTGATTCACAGGTACTGGGAACAGGTGGAATATTTCAAAAATATC